ACCAGGATAAGCTGTCCAAATCACTTCCACTGTCTGCCTAGAAACACATCTGTGTATGCTGGACTGTATCTCCCTAACTACAGAGCTCCCTGATGTGAAACTATTCACACTGGTTGGATGATCCCACTTTTAACTGGACATGTCACAAAATTCTGTCACCCACCACACTTTCATGGCTATCCATCAAAGGCAGGGACATCAGCCTCACTTCTGTTCCCTCACCTCCTACCATGAGAAATGCAGAAGGAATATGTAGATCTGCAGGGTCTCCTGGTCACTCCCCTCTCTTTGGCACTAAATCCATCATGGCTTTGTCCATCTCTGACTTTAGTAAATACTTCTGGAGGGCACAGCCTCCATATCCAGATCCTCTTTTCCTCCAGAGCTGTTTAAAGGTTATTAGTTATCAACATACCTTTTTTCTAGTCAGGGCCTGACAACAGTGACACAGACACTCATCCTCTGGGATAAACAAGGGGCACACTTCAGGCTTTCTGTATTTAGCCATCAGCCCATCCTCCTCTCCCTCCCCTGCAGCCAGCTCAGGAAATCACTAACAAAGAACACAAACAACTTTTGTACCTGTCATTAATTGTCCTACTGAAGAGGCAATTCCACTAGTGCTGGTTTGGCTTTTCAGATGTAAGGATCACGTGAAGGAAGAGAAAGCAAATCTGGAGCTAAAGCAGGAGTTTTAGATATCCAGGATATAGATACAGAACTGACAAAACTGTGGAAGTACACAACATCCATTACAGGATTGCTGAAAAGGCAGAATTCATAAGGAAAAAGGGAAAACATGACATTCCCCATCATTGTTCCCACAGGGACTGGGTCAGTGGTGAGGCTGAAGTGAGAGGATCAGGAGGTAAAGGAACAACTTTGAGAGACAACACAGCTGATCATGACAGGGACAGTCATAAAGGTGACTTAAAACCAAACAGAAATGCCTTGTGTGAGTTCAACAGCAAACTGACCTCTAAAAAGTCTGAGTTTTGGGCCCTTCCTTACAAAGCTCAGCCAATCTGACACCGTCAAACTTCATTTTTCAGGCTACTCAAAACAATTTACTTAAGTTACTCATTTTCCCCCTAAATGACTGCAGCAGAAATAAAGACATGTGACTCATTACTGCAAGCTTTGTTACTGTTAACAAATCACTGAAAAGCTGTATTGCTCTGCCAGCCTATATAAAAACCAAGGCAGAATCCCAAAAAATCTTGAGTAAGTTGGTAATAACAGAGCAGTTTTTAATACCTGCAATAGGATTGCTTGGATACTAACTATTCCAACACTGGGACTAAGAAAGGCACTTAGAGATTGAAGTTACCATAAAACCCAACTGAGGAGCATCAGAAATGCCTTCTGAAACCAGAGTATTTGTTAAGACAGGCCTGAGATCCCAAAGGATTTAGGACTTTCTGATGAGGTGTGTGCAGATGGAAGAGCATCCAGCACCCCTTCTTCATAAAAACCAAACCAGGCAGTAACTGTATTGGCACTGGTCTCCAGGATAAAGAGGTTACTCCCACATCACCTGTCACAGAACAGACACAGAAAATAAAGACTTTTCCAGATGACAGCAGTGGTATCTTGTACCTTTGCCATATTCTTACAGAATCCCATTTTACTTTGCTTGGGAGACCTTTTTCTTGGGAGAGACATTGGGGGCATCCTTAATCCTTGGGTAAAAGGAAAAATATGGAGATTAAATCAGTGCTATCAGCAGGTTTTGGGGTGCCTTGCAGGAGTGGCAAAGACATGGAGAACAAAGGGCTCACACATCTCTTCTACGTGCACTTCCAGAATCCTAAAAAAATTTAGGCTGGAAGAGCCCCACAGGCTGGCTGGGACTCCTTTTGGTCCATCAAGGACACAGAAATATCTGGGACAGGCACAAACAAGCAGAAATAGCACAAACAATGATGTCAAGTCCTATTCATCTTCCAGACTCACAGAGATCTTCCACTCAAGAACCAGAAAAAGAGCCCAACACCACCTGTCCCAAGGGCACATGTGAGAGCTGCAGAGCCTGTCCAGACAAACCAGTCACTGTTTGTCAAAGCAAGCCACAAGAGAAAAGGACTTCTGGCTGTAGGACCTTGCCAGGAGCCCCATTTGCTGGGCTGGTTCCTATGGCTCAGCCTTAGTTAAGCAGGGCTACCCCATAACCCAAAAAACTAACCACAGCTTTCTCCAAGTAGCCAAACCCCAAAAGGTTGAAATAACACATTGACACCAGTGGGATCATCCAACCACAGGGACTTTTTTCCCCTCTCTACCTCTGGCTGTGGTTGCTTTCCTCATCCTTCCCTTCCTGCAGCTGAGTTGACTGCTGAGTCTTCATAAAATGATGGAAAATATACTTGCATTACAAAAAGAAATAAAAGCAGAAGAGAAGAAGAAAACACCAGGCCACGGTTACTTAAACCTGCTATCAACACTTCAGCCACAGGAACATTGAAATGTTCAGGGCTTTGTCTGAGTTAATTCCTCTGTGAGAGCTTCTGCTGAATCTTAGCAAGAAATATGCATGGATATTTTGATTTTAAAAAGAAAAGAACCAAAATCAGTAAGAGAAAAGATAAAGTGGGTTCAGATGGTCAGAAACCATTGTTCCACCTTCAGTCAGCAGAAAACAGCTCAAGTGTATGAACTGCAGAAATGGCTGGATCCTGAGCTGAAGGGAAAAAGCGTTAAAAAAAGTTCTTTCTTAAAGCAGCTTTCTTTCAGATGAGACAAAGCCAGCATCCCAGCTGGAGAACAGAGGCTCTGGGTCACTCAGGGGCTGCACCAGCCCCAGGAGATTCTTCAGACCTGCAGTTCCCCAAGGACTTCTCCAGAGCTCTGAACATGAACAAAAACTGGGTTTCAAACCAACATCCCAGCTTCAGACCATGCTCCAGTTTTCCTGAGCCAGCAGAGGATGAGTAGATGAGGGAAAAGAGTTCAGCTGAGCACCACTTCTCACATTTTCCTGATTTACATGGGTCAGGGTAAACCCTTCTCCTCTCAGGAGAATCTCATCTCTGAATTACTGTGCATTTCAAGCAGCTGAGGTCATTAGGGCACTCCCTGGGAAAAGAACAGCACAAACCCACCAGACAGTGGTGGGAAAAGCTCCTTAAGTGTGAACAAACACATCAAATGTGAAGCAAGGAGAAAAAATGGGAGATGAAGTCAAAAGAGATAAAAGCTGAAGAGGAGAGAAGCCACCTTGCATAATGGTGGGGACAGAAACAGGCCTGTTTTGCCTAAATCATTGAGAGCTATGAACAGGAAAATCAGGGCTTTAGTAGCATGAACTCAAGGAAAAGTTAAGTTTGGCAGAACAAAACCATCAATATTTCAGTGGAAATGAGTATGAGCCTGGTGCTGGCAGGGAGTCAGTAATGGTGCCTTTATTCTATCTGATAACTTACCCAGACACAAATATCTTTTATTGTCTCCAGTTATAAATAATCTGTTAGAAAAGCAACTACTATTAGCCAGGAAGATGCACAAATGACTGAAATCATCAAAAACTAAACTGTCACAGCAGAAAAAGAACAAGTATCATGAAACTGAAAAAAAAAATCCCCATTGCTTCTTAATGAGGGAAGTGGGGACCCGTGGAGGGAGCACAGGGTCGGGAATACTTCAGTGCCCACCTCTGGAGTGAACAGGGCAGAGGAAAACCAGGGCATGGAAAAATCTCTGCTTCTCTTGCCTTTACATTCAACTTACACCTGATGTTTCTTCACCTTAAAAAGTATTTTATGCCTTTCAATTTGCAGAGGCACTGAGGAACTGACCCAGTTCACAAAGAACATTGTCTTCAAGCAGCCAATTCCCCCTGCAAAGGCCACACCACCTGCTTTAATGGCCAGGAAATGAAGGCAGTGAACCAGGCAATTGTCTTCACAAAATAAAATAAAATAATCAGTCCTTGGATCCGTTTCTTACTTGGATTGGTAAATTCCAAATTAAAAAGGGAATAAATTCAGTTTCAAATTGCAATGACTGACATGATAAGAACTTAATAAAATGCTGATCACACAACCTGAGCATGTGAGCAGTAATACACCAGACTGAAGTGACAGAGCTCTGAATACTGTTTTCCTAATAGGCTGGGGGACATCTTGTGCACAAATCCTGATTTCCAATGCAAATAAAAGCCTGGCTTTGCTCAAGCCAGGTTGAACCTTGGAGCCTGATGCAATGATGGGCACCATTTCCAACTGAGTCAGCTCTCCCTGGGAGCTGAGACAGACCAAGAAGTCCCCTGTTGCTGTCCTTCTGCTGATTTTAAACAAAATAACCAAATTTTGAAGGGTGATGCTTAAATTCAGGTTATGTGACTAGGAGCAGGAGGCTGGGAGCTGCTGTTAAAACTCAGGGTAATGTAAAGTAAAAAGGAGACTAAATTCAGAAGTGGGTCACAACATTTCTCATGAAACATCCAGGAGTGAACAACAGAGGTCACACAATAGAGACCACCTATTTAGGAGGACTCAAACAAGCCTTGAACACTTTCCCAGCAGAAACATTCAGAATAATGAAGCAAACAGAAAAGGTGGGGACAAAAGCAGAGATGAAGAGTTTTGGGAATGTTATAAATCCTGGTCCTTTAGGGCCCAGCTCACTGATTAGGACTGAGAACAACCTTCCTCAGCAAGGTAGCAACAGGTCACTCACAACCTCTGATGTTTTCCCCTTAAATCATCTCCATCAGCAGAGCCAAGGCAACAGTCAGGCTTTTAGAGGGACACACACCCAGGATGTGCCAGCTGCTGCTCCAACTCCACAAGAGCAACCACCAACAAATGCTGGAGACATTCCTTGGGGAGTGCCACAAGCACTGAAATACTCATCAGGAATTTAACAGCTTGGGTGTGCAAGTCACAGCTGCAGAAGTTCCCTCTGTACCCTTCCCAGGCTCTTGTTCCTCCTTCAGAAGCCCCACCCTACGCACAAGCCATGCTGCACTGCCCTCCCCTGGACAAAGAAGCAGCCCAAACCTCAAGCTTCAGAATGTCGTGCTGCAGCTTGCGCTGGAAGTCCAGGAAGTGGGAAATGGTGAGCTTTCCCTTCAGGTCAGCCCCGAAGAAGTAGGTGGTGAGGGCAGAGTTGAAGCCGGTTTTGAGGGTGTTGCCGGTGGTGGAGCGGTCCCGGTGGCGCATGCCCATGCTGGTCTGGGAGCGGATGATGCTCTGCACCTAAAACCACAGGGAGGATGGCACAATCAAAACCATACCAGTCAAAGCCTCTGTCATCTTTGTGGGGGTACCAGTTGTTGGTTTCTCTGGGTCTGGAGTGAAGGCACTCCAGACAGTAGTTCATGTCCAGACTCAGGTGTTTGTTATTTCTTGTCAGTAAAACAGTCTCACTACTGTGAGTTCAGCAGCTTTTCATTGGAAGGCACAAAATGGCCACAATCCCTTGGTACAAGGTCTTTTAAGGCTAAACTATCCAACTGAGAACTGACACCTGGATTATTTTCCCTTTTAACCCAATAACTGATCCCAAAGAGCCCTAATGAGGACTTTTCTGCCCCATTACAAAATGCCAGCAGAGAGAGAAATATTCCTGGTGCCCTGGGTTTCCACAATCTTTCTTTCTTTTCCTCCTCAAACAATTCTCAGGAGACACAATTCAAAAATCTGGCTGAACTTAAGAGAATCACAGAATGATTCAGGCTGGAAGTGACCTTAAAGACCATCTAGATCCAAAACCCTTCCACGGGCAGGGTCACTTTCCACTAGACCAGCTTGCTCCAAGTCCTGTCCAGCCTGGCCTTGAACACCTCTAAGGATGAGGAGTCCACAACCTCCCTGGCCAGCCTAGGTTTTGGCTTTTTCAGTCCATTTTAAAGAAAGAAGAGAACCAAGTGCTTAAAATGAGTTATAGGAAACAATTCAGCCAGTTTGCAGATTAACATTCTGTGCTGATCCTACCCCTGGTCAGCAGAGCAGCTTCTTCCCAGTAAAATCCCAGGAGGTGGGGAAGCTGCAACAATCACAGAATTCACAGAATGATCAGGTTGGAAAAGACTTTCAAGATCATTGAGTCCAACCCAGCCCCAACACCTCAACTAAACCCTGGCACCCAGTGCCACATCCAGTTTTTTTTCAAACATATCCAAGGATCATTGGGAAGAAAAAACTCTTCAAATGTTTTAGAGCTTCCACTCCTTTACTGCCCATCCTTGTGAGCTCACACCAGCCCCAGACAGCTCACAGCACATTTCTTCCCACTCATGCACAAATCCTGAGGTTTTCAACCCAAGGGTACCCTCTCCTTGCTGCCTGCTGCTCTCTGTCACAGCTGGAAGTTCTTCCATCCCTGGGGCTGTGCCACCCAGCACAAAAGGCTCTTCCAAAGAACTTCCCTGCTCCCTAAAAGATACCAAAAGGTTGACCTTGAAGGATGTGACAGTCTGAAAATCCAAGAGTGTGCTATTTTAAGGGTTTTGTGCAAATTTAAGGGGGCAGCCAAGCTAAATGCAGCCATGTCCTCTCTCCATCCTCAAGTATCTCACTAAACTACCAAGTGGATCTGAGTGATTATTGCTGGGATATGAGAAGCCAGGCTTATTCTTTGTGCAGTAACTTACCTCTTCCAACAAGGCAGCAAAAGGATTCATATTAAGGACAAGTCTGAAAAAGGAGGGGGGAAAAAGCCACTGGACAACCCAGGCTTCCCAAAGCTCCAGCAAACACCACTGCTTTGCCATCAGCCTCTTCCCCCTGCTGACACAAGTTGGAAGGGAGGAAGAAAAGCAGCTGCCAAGAGCTCCAGCTGTCACAAGGATGCCAGAACCTCATTATTGTGGTATTCAGTGTGTTCAACTTTTTCCTAATGACAGAGTGAGTGCTGGAACAGCCCCAATAGGATGCTCTAGAGGAAAACTCCATGCTATTGCTGTTGGGCTCACCTTGCTGGAAACCCTGCCTCCCAACCAGACTGCTGGCTGTTCTTCCTCTACAAGGAAAATCAAGTGGAGGAGAAAATCAAGAAGAAAAAAGTACAGAAAAGAGGTTTTGAGGCTTTTTGGTCACTCTGATGTGAGGAAGGATGTGGGGTGACCTAACTGTGGCCTTCCAGTGCCTGAAGGGAGCCTGCAAGAAACATGGAGAGACTATTTACAAGGGTAATGGCTTTACACTGAAAGAGAGGAGCTTTAGACTACATATTAGGAGGAAATTCTTCTCTGTGTGGGTGGTGAGGCCATGGCACAGGTTGCCCAGAGAAGCTGTGGCTGCCCCATTCCTGGAAGTGCTCAAGAACAAGCTGGACAGAACCTGGAACAACCTGGGATAGAGGAAGGTGTCCCTGCCCATGGCAGGGGGCTTGGAAAGAGATGATCTTTAAGGTGCTTTCCAACCCAAACTGTTTAGGAATTCTCTGATTTTTGCACTGTAAATAGCAACTCCTTAGTTTGCTTTGTGCTTCACTGTTAACTGTGAGCTCTGCATGCAGCACAGTTTGGAGACAAATATTTATAAACTGTCTGAAGCAAGGCAATTTAAGGCCAGCTTGGAAAACTGCCCCTGTTTCTACATGAATGTTTACCACACTGCAGACTGCTCCACAGAGCAGCTTTTCCTGGGTGTTATTTCTATGGAATCCTATGGCTCTTTTTTCCTCTCCCATCAGTAACAAGTGTTAGACAGGTTGAAAATCCACCTGTGGGCACTGGAGCCAAAAAGATTTAACCAGTCCCTGTTTTGGGTAATCATTTCAGTGTCCAGAAAGGCAGACACCACTGCAAGGAGCTGCCCTCACCCACAGCTCATCAATCGTGCAAGGACTGAGATGCTCCACTGTTTTTTGTTCCTATTTCAGCCTAAATGTTTGTCATGTTTCATCTTTTGTACCAGATGAGGGGAAAAAAATAAATTAAAATAGTTAAAGACTCAAAGAGAAATTACCAGTAACACTGCATGCAAGTTTTCTACTTTTCAGCCAGCTTTTCTTTAAAACCAGAGGAGTAAAGTAACAATTTACATGCCAAAGGATGAAGAATTGAAGGCAATACTGATGCAGGCACCACATTATTCAGGACTAAGCACTAACCACATGCCTCGACTGGATAAAAAACCTGAAATTCTTCAGCAAGGCCTGAAGAAATGAAATGGTTTTTTATTAGGTAGTTAAAGCCTCCAGCTAAGTCCCATATTAGCTGAATTACTGAAGTAATTTTCTTTCCTGATGAGGTCTTCAAACGTCAGTGAGAAGAGGGACCTGCTGTTGGCTGCCTCCAAAGACAAGGTGTGAGGGAGGAGTAGGAAGTTCATTCCCACATGCTCCCAGCCAGCAGGGATGGAATGATGCTTCCCTGATGGTCCTTTTCTTCTCCCTCTTTTCCCACCCTTTCTCCCCAAAATGATGTTGCTCTTTTAAACTGCTGCATAATCCCCTGAGAGGGCCAGTTCCAGCTGCTCCTGCCAGGTAAGATTTACAGGACAGAGCTGCAAACCTTGCCATCCTTCAGGCTCTTCCTGAGGCATTTCCATAAAGAGTGAAAAAGAGGATTTATCATATAAACAATTGTTTGTAATGTTATATGTTTGCATAATGAGATACATGTGCCTCCCACTGGAGCTGTGTTTGTTCTTGCAGCAAATCAGTATCTTCACAGGTATCTTCTCACTTTCCAAAACAGCTCCTTCATCCTCTCTCAGCCTTCACCCAAATATTCTGATGCTAACCAGGAACTTTATTCCTTTCTATACAGACAGTGACACAGGTAACCAGCTTAACAAAAATACCTTCCCCTTCCTTAGGATATTTATGTGACTTAATGCATGCATAACTCCCCCTGGCCTATGGGATGATTTGAAATAATTGAATTCAATTTTGCACCCTCATCTTCAGAGCAATTAGGAAACATTCATCCTGTAGAAATGTTCCTTTTTCATTTTACGTGGGTCTAATAAAAAAGCCAAACGTGACACCTGAGTTAGCACCTTGGCATCAGTGCATTTTTACTAGGAGGTTAATCGTTCTCTCCTTTTCTTAAATTCATTTATCTCCATAATTGATTTCATTCTAGAACACTGCAACTACCATAAATCACCTTTTGGACTGTTCAATATGATCACTTAGCTGCAGTGGAGTGCTATCTCCATGCACTACGCAGACAGAAAGAAGAACAGTGATTTTTACTTGGGGAAAGGAAGGAACATGGACAAAACCCCAGGTTTACATTTCAAGCTGTCAAGTGAAGTGATGTCAGACTGCAGATCAACACACTCCAGTCTCCTCAGAGTCCAAAGTGTGCATCTAAAATCCTGCATTTACCCAGATATGTTCCATGGCTCTGGAGCAAGCTCGTGATGATGACATCATACACACAGGTAATAATTTAAGGGGGATGACAGCAAAAGATTAGAAAGGGAAGGTAATTCAACAGACCTCCTTTGCCAGTGGTTCTTCCCATTTATAGCAAGTGCCCCAAGCACGACCTTGTAGAGACTCTTCTGCAGTTAATTACTCACTGAGCCAACTCATGAGTAAGAATCTGTGCCTGGATTCTCCAGGGCTACTTTGTTCTTAGGTAGCACTTTGGAAATACATTTAAATTTCCTTTTATGAATAGCACACACTGGTGATTCAGGATGTGATTTCAGGGTGTTTATAAGTTCCCAATATCTTAAGGCTAGAAATAGGCAAGAAAAATCACACTCTTCTGCCTGGGGAGGGCAAATCTTTCCCCCACTGACAGCTCGAGCCTTCAATCTATTCTCGCTCATACACAACCATAAATCACAGCTTATAGGAAGAGCTCACCAGTACCAGACATGAAGGCTAAACTCATTAAAAAACCTGCAGCAAAGTCCCTGTTGATGAAGCCTTGTAAGAAATAGAGGACTAATGAAAATAGGCTCTCAATAACACTGGAATAAGTGGGTAATTTCTCCTCTGAAGCAGACTTACCTTGGCTATTCTCTGAAGACAAAATTGAGGAATGCAGTAGAAGCTGTGAAGGTAGTAGGATCAAAATCCCACTTTATCAGTAGAGTGAAAAAAAGTTCTTTGTCTACTTGAAGGTGACTTTTTGTAAGGAAAATGTTATGGAATCACAGAATGGTTTGGGTTAGAAGGGACCTTAAAGCTCATCCAGTTCCACCCCCTGCCACAGGCAGGGACACCTTCCACCAGACCAGGCTGCTCCAAAGCCCACACAACCCGGCTTTAAATGTTGGTGAAGTTCTTTGTCTACCTGGAAGACTTTTTGTAAGGAATCACAGAATGGTTTGGGTTGGAAGGGACCTTAAAGCTCATCCAGTTCCACCCCCTGCCACAGGCAGGGACACCTTCCACCAGACCAGGCTGCTCCAAAGCCCACACAACCCGGCTTTAAATGTTGGTGACAAAGTTACAGGAAACCTGAGTTTGTCCTGGTTAAATGAAAAATTTTCTCTTGACATATCCAGTTTAAAGAAATGAACAGCAGCACTGAAGCAGCAGAGTAGAGCACAGAAGGAAAAGGTGCAAACCAGCACCAAGCACAAAAATAAAAGGCAGTAACATCACAGAGGAATGCTGTGCTTATGGCTAAGATGCCACAGCACTGATTGTTCAACTTGCCTGCTCAAACTCCTCCATGTCCACCTCGCCGTCACCGTTCAGATCAAACATCTTAAAGGCGATTTCAAAATTCCTCTGGGGAGCTACGTGAAAAACCCAACAAAACACAAAAACCAGTTAACAAAGATACAAAAGCTCAATTAAAAAGGGGCATAAGTTCTGAATGACTTTATCCAAAAGCAATTTTGCCTAATTCTTTCATTTTTAGTGAGGAAATGCAGCTCTTAGGAACCTCTGGCTATGAGCTTCATGGTGCTCCTTTTACCAAAGGTCTTGACAAGGAGTTGTAAGGAGGTGATATTTCTGGAACATTTGTTCTATTTACAGGTGGAAAAAGCTGAAAAACAAGATGCCATCTGGTATTTCTAATGACAGTTAACAGAAAATGATGCTGCAGCAAGAGCTCCAGCCTGTTCCATGCAGTCCAACACCAGTTTGGCCAGAGGATGTTCCTCAGGCACTGCACTCTCTCTGCTTCCCATGGGTGAGGAGCAGCCCTGGAATCTGGGCAGTTCTCAGCTCTTGCCTCCCTGTACAAATTTAAACAAATCATGACCACTCTGTCTCAGCCCAGTCATGACACTGAGAAGAGGTGTGGGCTGGAGCTCATGAGCTGAGACGCCGCTGTACCTTATTTTTCATTGCATTTAGTCTGTGCTGTCACGGTTCATTTAGTCAGAACTGCAAAAGCATCACTTCCCAGCCAACCACGCTCTTTTCCCTGCATCCCACCACAGAATTTCAGTACATTTCCATTCTGGGCTCTGTAACCCATCACTGTTTGCAGCTACAACACAGTGCCACAATTTTTTCCCAAATTAAGTTAATATATGAGGATTTATCATGCTCTGCTACTTTCAAATACACACCTCCTACAGGATTTGTGGTGTTTGCTGGGATTTCTAGGGAATCCTCTAGGTTATAACTAATGCTAAGGCTGTCATCTTAAGTGATCAGTTAAAATGTAGCTGCTTTTTTCATTTCCCAGCTCTAATGTAGATCACTGGTGAGGGTCAGCCCTCTTTAACCTCATCTGTGCAATCAACTTTTAGCATTTCCAGGGGATGCTCAGGGTATAATGAGTTTTTGCATACACCTGTCAACTTCATATCTTCAGAAAAATCCCTTCGCCCAGGATTTTTCTCCTGGGAAGCTGAGAAACCTCAGAAAAAAAGGAAACCAATATTATCTCATTTGCTTCTCCTGTGTTTTGCTACTTTGGAATGTGTTTGGAGATTGTTTATCCAACAGGTGATTGTTTCATTGGTTTCATGTGAATTGTTTTGACTCAATGGCCAATCAGGGCCAAGCTGTGTTGGACTCTGCAGAGAGTCACGAGTTTTAGCCTTCTGTAAGTATCCTTTCTGTATTCTTTAGTGTAGTATTCTTTAATACAATATAGTATAATAAAATAATAAATTAGCCTTCTGAGAACACGGAGTCAGATTCATCATTAAATTCCTTTGTCTGGGAACCCCACAAATACAATATCCACCCTTCTGTGGGAAGGCACTTCCCAAATGGGGGTGGGAAAGGGGAGACAAAGAGGAATCACTCAGACAAAAGGGAATGAATATGGAATTAACTGAACTGGATTTTGGATGTTTGTTACAGCTCCACATCAAAACTTTTACACTGTGTTTTCTCCTTGCTGTAATAACGACTAGCACTTTATCAGGAAAAGGTTCAGCAGACAGGTTAATGAGACCCCTTTCCCCAAATACTTTGTGCCCAAAATAGATGAATAAAGGCATTGGGGCTGATGGCAGGGACAGCCTGTCACGACCTGCTTGATATACACAGCACACGTGGTGCTGCTCTTATCATCCCTGCACTTCCAATTTCTCCCTGCCAACGACTCGAGCCTGGAATTCCAGACACCACGTGCAGGAGCAGCTTCTCCTGTGACCACAGCCACGTGGTGGGTCATCCCCCCTTCCACCCACATCCCTGCTGTGCCTCCACACAGCTCATCCCTCCTGCCTCCCTCCTTCACTCGCTGTCCCTCATTAACTCAGTGTTAATTGACCTGGGAACAGCCTGTCCCCAGCACCACCTTCATAATCTCTCCAATGACACACAGAATTTAAGGGATTAACCTCCTCTGTATCCATTCATCCTCTCCAGTGATTAATTCCCCATTTTTTTTGAAGAGCAACAAGCTTCCAACTACCCCCTAAATATTTCAAGAACATGTGCAATTTTATTCACTTTAATTGCAAGCACTGCATGAAAGCCTGGAAGCATTTTCTTCTTTTTAGCCCCAAAATCTGGCACTAGGGAAATGGTGTTTCCACTATGAGGAAGAGGACGATCAGACAAGTTACAAGGTTCTCATCTAGAGGTTACAAGGTTCCTCATCTAGTTACAAGGTTCTAGAAAAAGAGTAGTCAACACATATTTCTTACTCCATTTTCTCTACCAGGGTATAATGGTGTTTATTTAAAGATTGGGCAATTTGTTACTCCTTGGGAAAAACTGTCACAGGTTGGGTTCCCCCCCCCACCCTTTTTAAGGAAGTATACAATACCACATCCCATTTGTGCAGAAACATGGTGAACAGAGTAAAATACTCACTTGTCCCTCACAAGGGCCATTTCCCTCCTTTTCCATCTCTAAACACACATTTCCATGAGCAACATATCAAAGCCCCAGAGGAGAACACCACCTCCAAAATTTAAATGAGCAGTTCAGCATCAAAAATCTGCAGGGTCAGTATTTTCTAAAGACAGGGAAGGGTGGCTTTCATTTGGCAAATTCAATTACTTCACTCCTTCAGCTAATAAATGGCATGGCTGGTTTCTTCCTTTGATCTACACATCCAGCTCCAATTACCTGTAATGACACTTCAATCCAAACAGTGTGACCCTGAGCCAGGGGAACCAGAGGGCACCCAAGACAATTAGCTCATCCCACTCCTGCTCAGGAAGGAAAGTTCATTAGAGATGTACACCCCTGGTGTCCAGGACTGGATTTATGGGGCCTGAGTCAGATGATTTCTGCCTCTCCCCTTGGCTGTGATGCTTCTGGCCAGGATTTATGTGGGAAGAGCTGCCCTGAGAGCTGCCAATCCCACTGTGCCTGCCTTGCCCATTACCTCAGCCTGCGCAACCTCCCTTTCCCTTCCTCTTCCTGCACTTACATCCCTCAAACTCACAGACCACAAAAGCAGCAGACACCAGATTGCCCAGTTAAATGTAGCCTCTTTTATTTTGCCCCCCAAATTTTACCATTTCCAACTGCAGCATCTCTAAATTTCCCCACTGCCTCCTTAATTAAGATGCCTCCAAACAAACCCAATATTCCTTCTGCAGTGGTTTCCAAAGCCATTTAAAGGCCTGTTTGGTTCTCATATGGCCTGATGCCTGTCTTGATAAGGGAAAACCATCTCTGGGTTTTCCCCAAGTGCTCTGCTGCACTCCCAGCTCTCTCTGATTGTGTGAGCTGTCTCCTTAGCATCCTTTTTTACATTATTAAAAATAGAGACTGTTTCATTGCGACTGATTTCCCTTGGGCAATGAGGCAGAAACTGGTCGGGGCAACTGCAGTTTCTTTTTTAGCTTTATTTCTATCTTTAGATGTTCAGGAGGATCCTCCAAATCATTAACATGGAAGCATGGAATGGTTTGGGTTGGAAGGGACCTTAGAAATCACCTAATCCCTTCCATTAGGCCAACATGAGTGAAAATGTGGTACTGAAGCCCACACCACTACCAGTGAACTCCTAGACATACATGGAAAGATCCATAAATACAGACCTAGACATAGATATATGGAAAGATCTGGTTGAAATGATCCTTTAGATCCATAATTCCACCAGCTCTCCATGCCAAGTTGCTTTTTCAGCTAACCCGGGATTTAGCGCAAAAGGCAATTAACATTTTTCTTGATTCATTTCTTCCAATCAAATATTTGGGGACACAAAGAGAGCAAGTAAAGCAGAAGCCAAACACAGGAATGGAAGATAGATGAGTGTCCTTCACCAGCAAACAAATAACAAGCAGCAGCACTGACCACGTGGAAAAACCCACTTGGATCCAGCAGGGTAAAGCCCCCGGGAAGCCCTGAGGGATGAGATGGGTTGATTAGGCATCTTTGAGCCAATTATGCCATTTTAAACTACTTTCAATTATTCAATGGACCAATTTGCAGCACTCAATTGCTCTTTACAGCCCTGTACTCTCAGCAAAAGCAATGCACTCTGAAAGACATTAAAAGCTCACTGATGAGAAAGGCCACATTTCCTTGGCTTTGTGCTCATTTGGGATCTTCTCTTTCCCAAAAACTCAACATTCCACACTTGGAGACACCTCTCAGTGTATCTTGCCCTCTGATCTCCAGCAAAGGAGCTGTATTTTAAGAAAACCCAAGTCTTAACACACTTTTGGAGAATACCCATTGCTCCCTCCTCATGGAGCTGGGAATCTCTTTGCCAAAACAGGATGATTTTTGGTGATGTTCCTTAGAGGAAGTAAAACTTCTGGCTACTCCTTAGAAAACACTGGAATATCTCGTCTTTTGGTGGGAATTTGTACACAAAGCAGCTCATGGCTCCCAAGGCTTAATAACTCCCCAAGCAACTCCAGTGTGGGAAGAAGGATCAAGAACTCAGCTGGGGAAAATCAGTCATTTAGAGTTAAATATCCCATGGTTGCTTCTTTTCCATTTATTCCAAAATGAAGAAAAATAGATGTGCAAAGGCCACAGTATCCTGAAAGTGAATCAATCCCAAGCTAACACAGTCCTGAAGCAGAGACAGCTATCCATAGAATATAGATGGCTGAGCCCCAGCTGCAGTAAATATAGGGAAAAATCCCATTAAACTTAATGTTGCAGATATTTTCTTTTCATTACTATTCCACCATTTCAGAAAATGTAGTCCAAAAACACCAAGCTGGGGTTTTTTTAATGTTAATCAACCCAAAAATGTAAGTAACAGGCAGCTAAAAACCTGAGCCCACAGCACAAACACTGAGCCACAACATCATCAGTTCCAGAGGAAAAATGGGTTATTTCTTCTCCCAAAGAAGGATCAGAACTAACTCTGAAATAATGCAAGTGCATCATCTTGGGATGCAGGGAGAAATTCTTCCCTGGGAGGGTGGGGAGACCCCGGCAGAGGGTGCCCAGAGAAGCTGTGGCTGCCCCTGGATCCCTGAATCCCCCATCCCATCACACCACACAAATCCACGGGATGAAGAGATGAACAGAGGAAGAGCAGGTGAAGGATGCAGGCTGACAGAACCTCCCATGCCCCACTCTTGAGTTTTCAAATCACTCGAGAACATCCCAAACTGCCAATTGTGAAAAATCATTTCCATTTCTGTCCTTCAGCATGGCACAAGTGGGATGCCAAGTCAGAGAGCTCTCCCTATGCCAGGAAGCAACCAGACTTGTGTTTGGAAGTTGGGATATTCCCTGGAAGATGCTGCTCAGATACATCTTGGAAATGCCACAGAGCAGTGAAGAAAGGTGGCAGAAAGGCAGGAAGACAACCTTGCTCCAAATAGTGAGGGTGAGATGGACCCATGGAGGGAAAAGACTGAAGATAAAATGAACATGAACAGGACTACAAACAAAAATAGTTCTCTAACTTAAAGCAACCTTTTCTTGTGGAAATGGGCCCCTGGCACAGGGCACAGCAGGATTAAAGCACCACTGCTGAGGTAAAGGTTTCACTCATGGCAGGGATGGGGCTGAAGACTTTCCTGTCAGCCAGGAATAATTGATTCAGAACAGTCGTGGTCCAAAGGGAGCCTGGAGATCCCAGTGTGGGAGATGTCCCTTCATCCCAGGGACACACACAGAGCTCAGTATCTGGCCAGAACACAGTTTCCGGAGTTAGATGGCTTGAAATTTATTCCCTACACACAAGACAGAAAAAAAAACAAAACCAGAGGTGAGTCTATCCTAAGTGAGAGTTACCTGCTGCTGGGAGAAGGAGCTGCAGGTCTGCTATGAGAGCCCTGGCAAAAGGCTAATTATTGTGGCTTCAGCCAATGTTATTTAATCCTCCTGCCAGGAGAATTAAATCCAGACACAGCTACAGTCCAACTGTGGAAACAACACCAATTTATTCTTTTCATGCCCAGCTCTCCTCAGTACCTGTTAATGAAGGCAGAATTAGTGTGCCTTGACAATGGACCCCATTTGCTGGGAAACTGCAGTCACTGGCAGTGGAAAAGCTCTTTTTCTCCTTCCTCCATTTGTTTTGCAAGTCCCAAAGCAAACACCTCTTTGGTCAGGAAGCCATGTCTTTGTTTTCCTGTAACATTCAAAGGATCCAAGGGAAATTCCATCAAAATTTGCTCATCTTTCTACCTCTGCCCCAAAACACAAGGAGCAGCTGAAGCAACAGAAACCGTGGAGTTGCCTCAAGGCCCCTCAGCTCTCATTGCCTTTAACAGAAGGTTGACTTTCTGAAGCAGCTAAAAGCCATTTTATTAGTTGTTTTACAAGAAAAACTTCACAGAAACACAGCAACTGGGGAGAACAGACAGTGCTGGAGTGAGAAATGGCTCGTAAATAAGATATGGTGACAGACTCATTCTCGGAGCAATGTGCAAACAGCTGCCTGAGAGCAACATGAAATGAAGCCTCCAGCCTTCTCTCCTCCTCTCACTCCCCATTTCACAGAACTCAGAACTCAGGTCAAGCTGCAAAGACACCTGAAATGAGCAGTTTGGGGAAACATAATGACACAGAGCCCTTGGGGCTTCTTGTTTCCCAAGGCTCTCATTGATCAGTTTGGAATCCAATGAGCCAAACCAGACCATGATGGATCTCTCCCCATCACTCTCTCTCCTGCCTCCCTCTCCCCCAGACCCAATCTCCCACTCCCCCTTTTGATTATCCTGCTTAGTCTCAATATGCCATCTTCCTTTCCCAATATTTATTTGGTTTTATCAATTTGATGTAATCTACAGCTCCACCTTGTCCAGATATTTCCTTAATGTTTGGGTTATTTAAACAACACAGGGAGAAAACAATTATTGAACTGTCACATTTAATATTTACTTCCCTCATTCTATTTTATTTATTCATTTCTCTCTTTTATTTATTTACTTCTAGGGAAAAGAACCCAATCAGGAACTACTGGATTCCTGCAAGGCAATGTTCACTAGTCAGAGAGTAAACCAGTGGGGTGCAACAGTCAGTTTTCTATTTAGCCACAGGGTAAGGCTTGGATGGGAGTTAATTTTAAAAAAGCAAATGCTTCAGAAATGAAACCCAAACTCTTCCTCCAGGGAATCACTAACAGGAGCTCCAGAGATGTTCCTCCATCTTCAGTAATCATTTAACAAACTTCCCAAATGTCTACAAGTCACCCTCAAAGCCCTGGAATTTTTTCCCCTCCCTTTGTTTTTAAATTTTCCCTTTTGAAAGCTCCTGCCTTGCCCTCAAAGGCCCAACATGGCTCCTCAAAGCCAGTTCTGGCTCCTCATTAATCTAACTCCCCTGTAATTGAGGACACACTCAAAAGCCCAAGAGCAAGAGGAATAAAACCCTGTCCCTCCCTCACAGCCTCCAAAACAAGGCTGGCTGCTCCTCCAACACAAGGTGGTCCTTTTCTTTTATTCCCACAACAAACAAGTTAAAGAAAAGCAAGAACAATTTCTCTTACTGCTGCCTGTGGAAGCACATGAAATTAATTTTGTGCCCTGTGTACTTGATTAGGGGGTTGTTCACCACCAGCACAACCATAAAAACAAGGGCAAGAGTGTTTTCCAAACCACACTCAGTAATGTGATAGCAGAGGTTTGAGAGTTCATTGTCATCTCTGGAGGCTCAGATGGAAAGCCCTCATTACACAAGTGAATACCCGAGATCATTTTGGCAGAGCCCAGATGAATGCAAGGAACAGCAAAGGTCTTAAGAGCCAGTACGGGGACTCAAATAAAGAAAAGCAAATTAAAGTCATAAAACAAATTCCCTGGCTCGAACCAGCTTCATCTCTCTGTTTGTTTTCACAACATGAAGGTCACACACAAGTCTGCCCCTGCCAGGTCCATCTGACAACAAACAAGACCTTGAGCATTGCTGCTTCCCAGGAATAGATCCTCGGTAAATGAAGAGCTGCCTCTCGTGTCTCCTGTTACAACATGCAAGAACATGGAGGGAGAATAAAGCACCTGTTGCTGTGACAAAGCATCAGGGATTAACCCAGCTGAGTCCCTGAACAGCACTGGGCAGGCAGCAGAGGGCTCTGCAGGTAACTGGGAAACATCCAGTTTTATAATTTCACAGATCAGGTCAGCATGGAATAGATCCATGATTAGGTGGCCAAGTTTTCTCTTTTTAAATCTGAAAATAAAATGTCTCAAGTTTATTTGGACAGTGGCTTATTCCCCCTTACCCCACAGTTTCTAATGGGGCTGAGAAACTGTCATTGACTTTCCTGTTTATGACACAGCATCTTCCAAGCAGTCAGAGAAGCTCTGCAAATGAGGTTTTGAGCTTGACTTCCACGTGAAGAAAGTCTAGAAATGCCATTTGACATTATCAAAGGCTTCAGTTTCACTGGCTCTTGCCAGCAAAGCAAACTTTTCAGTGCTGGCACTTGGAGTGCAGACGACTTTGCTGGAACAGATTAGCAGATCATGGAAATATCACAAATGCAAGTCAAGGGCAGCAGGGTGAAAAGACAGAAGGTATCTAATGATACTGGTTGAAATGTAAACAGCTTAACTTCCCTCCTCATTGGATTACATCACTCACAAACCCAAGTTCACCCAAGTGAAAACACAGCTGGAAAAGGGAGTTTGGAGAGGTGTGAAACCCCTGAAAAGCTGGAGATCTCTGTTCATCCAAATCCAAGAGAATATCACATGAACACAGCTCAAGAACACATCTCCATTTACAGATCTGAACAACAGGTCAAGTGACTCATTAAAAAAAAATTTGTCACATTTCAAAATGAGAAATAAATCTTCAGAAGTCATCAATCAGCTTGTCTTTTCAAAGCACTGGAAGCTCAGGCTAAACCAGATCGAGCAACAGCAATTGCTCAGCTCGAGTTGCAGGCAACCAAGAAGGCCTTTTAGGGAAATGCATGTCAACAAGCTATTACTTGTGAACCCTGAAAACTTCAAAAAAGCAGGAATTGCAGAGAAAACCCCTGCTGTACTTACTGGAAAGGACGGTGGTGAGGAAGATGTAGTCGGAGAAAGAGATGAGTCCGCATTCTCCGAGCGCGTAGAAAATGCTGTCCTCGTCAGCAAACTTCTCCCTCTCCTGGGACAGCTTCTGTCATCCACCCGAGCCACAGCCCAAAGAGAGCACACAAAGCACCAGATTAAACACAGAAATGGAAGGCTTCATTTGTATCCTTAGCACCAACAAGCCATTCCATGGACACACACAACCCTACTGTCTCCATCCATATCCAGTGGACCTTTCCCAGCCTTTGGGTCTGATCAGAGAAGTTCTGCAAAGATCAGTGCTTCCCCATCCCAAATGAGGATAAGGAATTGCATGGGATTTTGGTGTTGGTTCAGCCCAGCTGAAATAAACATAAATAAAATGGCCAGTTTGCTTAAAATCTTTGAGATTAGTGGTAAAAAACTCAGACTTTAATACAGGATTTAAAGAGGAAATTGTATTTCACTGACAGCTTTTTAGTTAGACTCTGTTGTAGAAAAGAGCTGAGAAAGGACTATTTGACATGAATATAAAGTCTGATCAAAGTTATCCAAACTGTACGTGTGTGTGTGAGCTCAAAGAGAGGACTGGGCCTGAAACCAAACTCAATCCCCCTCTTGCTCCAATTCTGTTCCATTTATCAGCTCATAATATCTTACTAAGCTAAAAATTCAAGTCCCTTTGATCTGCAGAACCCCCAAAGGCTGAAAAGGATCCATAAAACTGTTAGGGAATCCACACTGGTGACCCACTTTAAGGACACAGTAGGAGGAGGCACACACACAGAGGAGAATTAAATGAATACAAAGGAGAGTAGGGGTGGGTGAGGTTATTCCATGGAAACCAGGCCATGCAAGCACACGCAGGCACGGTGAAAGCAAGGCTGGATTTAGGAATGGTTTTAGGAAAAACCACCAACAAACACCACCACAAGAGGGTCCAGCTACACAACTGTCCCCCACCGTTACCTCTGTCTAGCGGAGATCCCACCATATACAAGATAAAGGAAAGAAAACCGGTTAACCAACAATAAAACAGGCAGGCAAAACATCACATCAAGTTGAATGGTTAGGCTTGCCAAGAGCAAGGAAAGTTTGGAGCAACCAGGTGGTTGCTGTGACTGGAAGCCTATGGAGATATCCCAGCAAGTGTTAGCTCATAGCTTCTCCACTGTCTGCGGCTGATGTCTCTCATCCACCTCAAGTTTTTGGGTTTTTTTTTATTTTTTGAGAGAGAACTCACCATTATTTGTGATTGCAGAGTGGGGATGAGCTCAGCTAATAATTTAGATGAAAACTTAACCTGTATCTGGCTTGGAAACCACAAGAAAAGAGACAAAAATAATCATATAGATCACAAAAAAAAAAGTTTCCAGGGAAAAAGACATCAGTTCTATTGATCACATAAAATTGTTCTTGTTTCTCCAGGTGATAAAGGCACATAAAACTGTGCCTTTACCACCTGGAGAGCACCAGGAATTTAGTAAGAGGTGAGTCACTACCAGCAGACAACATGCTAATGGCCTTCATTTGATGCAAGATAACAGCCAGTTATGCCTATGGGGTACCAGGTTGAAATATCATTTCCTCAAAAAATGGTTTTGCTTCCATTTCCATCAAGATGAATCCAAAGCAAAAAATAACATTGATGCTTATGTGAAGAACAAACATCTGGTTTTCCTTTGAACCAGAGACAGGATTTGGGGAGAAAGCAGCTCCCTGTGACTGCTGCTGGAGGTGTTGCCAGCAGCATCTCACCTGCTCCTGTGATTTATTGCCTCTCCCTCTGATTGCCTCTCTTGGGCAGCATTGATCATAATCTAGCTATTGGCATCTTGCTTGAAGAATCCCATGAGAAAGTTCCAGAAGGTGGTTTATTAATTTTTATGGGTTTCTTTGCTGCACTTAAAATTCATAGTCAGCATCAAACAGCTCAAAATATTTCTCATAAGAGGAAAGCGCATCCACAGATAAACAATAAAAAAGGATATTAAGTTAGTTGATCTCTGAAATATAAAGACAGATGGGAGGGAGAAGCATTTACCCATTTGCACCTTCCTTTGAGCAAACACAGTAAAAAAAAAAAAAAAAAAAAAAAAAAAAAAGAGTTATTTATTTATATTAAAACCAGCATCTACTTGTCACTAATCCAGGGAACACAAGCTGTAACTACAGTGCTCAGCTATTTGTAGCTTGTGGAAAAGGGAATTCCTCACCCTGATTTTAAGAGAAAGTAACAACTGCCCTGATCAATCAGATTTTCAGGTTCCCAGCAGTAGAATAGAAGCTTAAAAAAATCCCAGCTCTCCCATCCATTTTCCTCTGTCCCAGTGAGAAGCTGTGTTTGATTGCTTTCCATGAACTTGTGGGAAGCTCACCCCACTGTGGGAAAGGCTCAAAGCACCCTTTTTCCAGGAGCTGTTCCCCACCACAAAACATTGCTGCAAGGAATGATATCTAACCTCCAGGAAAAATAATATAAAATAAATCAATCTACCTATTTCACAAAGCACAACGTGGGCTGTTGTCACCCCTCAAAGTTCAAGGTGATTGACCCAAAGTCAGTCCTCACTAACACCTCAAACCACCCTTTTCCACACCCACCTTCCTTCCAGCACATTCCAATTCAGCCAGAAAGGTGATGCATGGTATCAGAACACCCAGGGAAAAATCCCTTTCCAAACCTCCACCTTCTTTTAGAGACAAGTCATCTCCACAAATAATTATCCACGCCCTTTTGTATCTGAGCACGAGGTAATTCTCAAAGTGTTCAGTTAAAACAGTCAAATGTCTTCCAATTAACATTTTTTCCATGTTAAATCCACTCCCAAAACCAGAGTAATTGGTTAAGATAATTCAGCACACCCAAAAAAACCCCCATTTAAACCTGAGCATTCACGAGTGAGCAAGCCATGGGGAACACTTTACAATTATGATGTATTTTTTAATCAAGCAGTAGATTCATATTTAACAAGCACACAGACGAGCAGACATCCAAATTAACATGTAAAAGGAAAAAGAAATCCAAATGTCTCACTGCTTTTGGCACAAGCATGGCTGAGTAAGTTCAGTGAGAAGCCACCAGTCCAGTCTCAGTGGAACAAAACTTGTGACAGGTGTACAGGCAGATTCTCTTACAGTTCCAGACACGGATGACAGGTCAAAAAACTGACTTAAATTCAAGATACAGAGCTTGCTTTGCCCTTCCCAACTCAGCTCTAAGCTCAATCAGAACCAAGATGTGGTTGAACAGATCAATGCAGTGACCAAGCTTCCCCAAACCCACGTGCTAGAGGAAAAAGTCATGTGCTGCATGCAGGCAACTCCCCAGAGTTCTTTATGTACAGGCTGGCTGCAAAGCACCCAAAGATACATCACAAACTTCACATATTCCACCCCAAAACTGATCTGCTGTTGGAGCCTCCCTTAAGTTAAGGACATGGTACAGCTTCCAACAACAAGGATTGGTGGAAAAACCCCATGGAATCCTTATGTTCCTCACCAAATATTACCTTTATTTCGGATTTTAAAATTGTTTTCTCAGGGCTGAGTGAAGAGTGAAATGTGGTAATATTGAATTATGCAAATCTGAAAAACAAAGGTGTATTTTTGTACATGGAGGGATGCTTTCTCTGCAGAGGCAGAGATGGGCACACAGTGCTGGTGCTCCTACTCCTAATGCAGGACTAGAGAAGCCTGACCACCTAAATCCTGGCAGCCCCACTTCATGTGGCATTCCAGAAACTACAGCGTTTAATTTGGGAAGACATTCTTGGGAAATCCCTCAGAGCTGCCAGTGTGGGTTTCCATCTGGAGAAGGAAAGGACATTTTGGGCATGTTTCTTCCTGTAATTTATGTTTCAGCACTACATTTGCACTTCCATCAACCAAAGCTTCAGGAATTTATCAGCCCAATGTGACCACTTACACCTTCCAAAACAACAATAAAATAAATATCCATGAGAGATAATGGGTATTTCTCCAGAACCAGGAAGCAATTCTGTCAATTAGCAAGGGATTTTAGATGAAGAATAAACCACCTTTTATTGACAAGCATCATTGTACTCTGTTTGTTCCTTTTGAACAGAAACATTTTCAGGTGACCATTATTGTACTGAGCAAATACAAACCCATGAGTGTAGAGTGAAGTCACCTGGATGCAAAGCAATTCTCTTTCAGTCCCAACTGACCACCTTCAGTTATTATTAGAAAACATTAAAATAAGACATGAATTAATGTATTTCATTCTTTCTTTTCTATTAATGTATTTCTTTCTTGGTTAACTGTAGGCATGTAGGAAAAGAAGTCCTATTTGGCAGCAGTACAGGTGTGGATTATTGCAGCTTTTCCCAAGCAGGGCTGTTGAAAATCCAGGGAAATACATACTAAGAGACTTGGTAACAGACAAGGGAGAACCCTTAATAAATTTCAGTGCAAACCAGCTTGCTGTGGTAATTAAAAATATAAATGCTTTCAACTCTGTCTGCATCAAAACACTGAACCGAAAAAAAGGAGGATTTCAAACTTTGCTCATTTTTTAAGACTTTAAAGAGTCAAAGCACTGTATCTAGAGATTTCAGGCACCTCACTTTAAAAAAACTGTATAAAGAAATAAAAGGCTTTCAGGATTAGAGTTCAAAATTGAGCCTTTCAGCCCAAATGTTCCGAAGTTCTTAAGGGATAAAGAGATAGGGAAGGTCCCTCTGCACTATGAAACATGGACAAAAATGGGACTTGGGAGGAAATTGAGGGATTTAAGAGTTTTTAAAGTCAGTTCCATAATGTGGATGCAAAATAAGTAATTTTAAATGCACCGCCTGGCTTTTTTATATCACTTTTTCTACATCATTAAATAAGAAAAAAAAGTGTTTGAGGCTGTGATGAAAACAGCACAAGGACCTTTTGAAACTCATAAACCTCTTTTAGCCATGGGAAAGCTCACATTATCTGGAGCCACTAGGAATGATAATTTACTATGAAGTCTGCACACCAACACAGGCAAAGACAAACAGGTTCTCCATGGCAAATTGTGGTGGCTGAGTGCTGACCTAAGAAAATGCTTAACATTTACTGTTGGCAGATAATACTGCATAATTGGCAGATAACACCTTTCAAGGGCATATTTCAATTGAGGTTTTAAAAACTTTTCATTTTGGGGGGTTATTTTATCTGTGTATCTACAGAGGGGCACAAAAATACAGAGCTGGACATGGGTGAGGTTGTCCTGCACGTCCTTTCACTCTAAATTTGAGCACATCCAGAGAATGAAAACCTGGGCAGCAATTCTTACTGCAGGTGGACTCCTGTGACTGGAAAGAGAAATCTGCATTCCTTCCCTTCCAGCAAGGCTGTAAATATTCAAACCACCTTTCAAACAAAGGGCACCTGCAATGCAAGGCCAGCATTCTGCACAACCCAGAAAATCAACCACACAGACTCTCCCAACCCGTGGCAGGCAGCAGAGCCACTCATGCAAGGGAGAAACCCCTGCAGGAAAAGCCAAGAGGAAATGCTTTGGAAAAGGGACAGTCTACACTTGTGCTCCCCTCAGCAGGGTAATGAAATCACAATCTGCAGGACCACTGGGGCATTCTGCATCGGAATTTAATGGGGAGGATTGAAATTAGGGTCCTTGATGGCTCAAATAAAGCTTCTAAAATGAGCTGAGTTTTGCCACCTTTGAATTTAAACAGCTGTTTAGGTCTCTGATGGAAATTGGGATGCTGCTCTCCCTCATCTCAGCCTGCATGACCAAGATGAATTCATTGTGCTGCTCCTTCTCTCACGCAGAAATCCCAGTGTGAAAGGACACCAGGAAGAAAACAATAATTCTCTATAAAAAGTGATTATTAACCATTGGCTCAGTTGATGAGGTTGGGGCTGTACACTTGGTACTCACCACCAAAATCTTGTCAGTTCTCTTTCCCTCTCTCAGTCCTTTTTTTCCTTCACCTGCTTCTCCCATTCAGATTTTA